TGGCCGCCGCCGTCGTCTGGCTTTGGTGGTGGCGATGGCAGTTGAGCCGGTGGCGGCGGTCGAGGCAGCCAGCGCCAGGGAGGGGGGAAGGGAGACTGAGCGGGAACAGCAGGGGCCTCCAGGGACGTCCCACCCCCTGAATCGCCCACCCCAGGAAGGGAGGCTCGGGACAGCCACTCGGGCAGGGAACAAAGGGAACGGAGGGAAAGGGGGGGAAATGGTGACCACACCCCCCTCGCTCGGCTGAAAGCAGGGTGGGGGGGCACCCACAGAAAGGGACACAGGAAACAAGGAACACGATGCCCAGCTCAGGAGGAAGAAACCAGCTCCCCTGGCTGCACTAAGGGGGGGGGAAGGGAGCCTCCGTGAGGGGAATAACTGAAGCAGGGAGGGGAATTCTAAACGCCTACAAAAGGAACGGGGGCACGCAGGCAAAAAGGGTAAACTGGGGGGGGGGGAAACAGCAAGGGACTGGAATGAAGTGGGGAGGGGGACAAGTATGCCACAGGCCGGGAACAGAAAACAGGGTGGGCTCAAGGGCAACCAAACTGAAAAAGGGGGAATGGGGCTGGCAACAATGCCTGCACCGTGGGACAAGGGCAGGGCAAGCAAACTAACCAGGGACCAAGAAAGAGACCCCGCAAAAAACAGAGCAAACAGGGTGGCTAGAAGGGGAGTGGGTGGGGCAGGCAGCAAAGGGAAAGGGGACAAACAGCTGCAAGGGCAGGACAGGGGGCAAGGCAGAGGGGAACGGATCCCCATCAGCCTAATGCAACCCAGGGAGGGAGAAAACTGCCAAGGAAGGAAAGGAAAAGTGAGCCCACGGGTGCTAGAACAATGAACCTTGCCTACTGCAATGCCCTGGGCGAGTAAGCAGGGGAGGCAGGCAGCTGGGGCAAGTGTGGAAAAGCCCCTAGCAGTAAATGGGGCAGGAAAGGGAGCGGCAGCAGAGGTGGTATCAGAAAGCGGGGGTGAACAAGGGGGAGGGTACTACACCTCCCCCTGTTCCCCCACAGCAACCACTCTGGCCACCGCCCCTGGGACCAAGCTGAGAAACTCCCCCGCCCCGCCGCAGCAAACTGCAAAGACCCCAGACACTGCCCTAAAGCAGCTCCCTCATCTCCTCACCAGGCGGAAGAGCAGCGGCTGCAGTGGCAGAGCAACAGCAGCCAGAGCCAGGAAAGACCCCAAACAAGATGGAAAAGGGGGAGCCCTCTCCACTCCCCTACCAACAGGCAGGCCAGCAAAGCCCCCCAAGCAGCTACAGCAACTAGCAAAGGGGGACAAGCAGCCAGCAAGGGAAGGGGGAGCCTGGCCCAAGAGAAACGAACTGGGACTTGCTCACCACTACAGCAGCTCCATGCTCCTCTCAGCAGAGGTTTGTCAGGAGAAGGGAGCCTCTCCTGCTTGCAGGGAAACAGCCTGACCATACCCCCATGAACCTGCCTCAACTGCCAATCAAGGAGGCAGGCACCCACAGCTGCAACCAATAAGGAACAGAGGCCTGCTATAAAAGGAGAGAGCGCAGGGAAGGGGCACATTCACAGAAAGGGTTTAGACAGCAAAGGGCTAATACTGGTGTCCCAGACAGTCACTAGAAACACAGTGCAAAAGCACTGACACAGATTGCTAGGCTGAATGAGATTCCAGGGGCTAAGACCTGTCTTGATCAAGGGATAACTAAAGAAAGTAGAGACCCCCTGAAAGACCCCATAAAAGACTGGTGACATCACCTGACTGCACAGACTGG